CACTTAGAGGAGCCAGAAGAGAGGAACCAATGTTTTAAATTAAAACAAAACAAAACAAAATGCCTCCTTCGTGCACAGTAGTTTTGAAAAATAAAGGGCTTCAGTGCCATTTGTTTTTATGTTTGTCATTTCCAGATATTGCCTTTAATCTTTTCCATTCCATTCCATTCTGTTTTCCATTCCCCCCCTTTCCCATTTGAAACCTTCCATGTTATAATAATAATGAGGATAATAATAGTAATAACTAACATAGAGCACGGACCATGGTGGCAGGCACTGTGCTAAGTGCTTTATCTCTTTTTATTTTCACAACAACCCTGGGAGATAGGTGCTATTATTACCCCCATTTTTAGATTAGGAAACTGAGGCAAACAGGTTAAATGACTTGCCCAGGGTCACACAACTAGTAACTATAAAAGAAGCAGGATTTCAACTCAGGTCTTTCTGACTCCAGGCCTGACCCTCTATCTACTGAGTCACCTAGCTGCCTCTGTAACAAATAAATACCATTTAGGATAAATAGCCAGTAAAGTGACAGAAATCTGACAGTGTTCTTTCTTCACCTCTGTTCTCTGTGCTTGGGGAAGTGTATGTCATTGCCTATTCTTTGGACCAAGATATTAGTTATTACAATGTCCTTTTAGTGGGAAATCACTTTCTGATGAATCTGATGGATTACTTGGTGTTGCTAATATAGTCTCCGTTTGAATTATTTAAAAGTTCAAACTTTTATAGATTGGATTATTTTTGAGGGGCTCCCCAGGCTACAGCATTAATTAATTCAAACGTTAAGTAATGTTAGAAGGAATGAGGAATGTTAAGCCTGGAAAAGGGGAGACAGAGGAAGAGATTAATAAAGTAACAATGATTGACGTGAGGCTCTTTGAGAAGTAGGGCACATACAGGAATGATAAGGTCGGGAAGACCTGGAGTTTGAGTTCTGCCCCACATGCTTCCTGGGCGGTTACCTTGGGCAAATCATTTAGCCTCCAAGTACCCTCAGGCCACTCTCTAAGACTAAGAAGATGTTACTGGTCTGAAAGAAAACAAAAACCGTATAGCTTTTGCATATTTTACACACGTTCTTCTGAATGGAGGGCCAAGCCTTAAACTCCTTCCCAAAGTGTCCCTTTATAAGAGGGCTCAGAATTTTCCAACCAGCTTCATTTCCCATCAGTTGTTCTGCTTGGTTTACCTTCTGGTGTTCCTGTTTCCCCTCCCTTTCCCCCACTTCCTTTTGTGTATGGTCACCCTCCTCTCTTCCTCCCCCCTTAGATTGTAAACTCCTTGAGGGCAGGGCCTGTTTTTTTTTTTTTTTTCAGTGCCTGGTTCCTACCAGGTCTTAATAAATGTTTGTTGATGATTGATATTATCTTATTTGAACCTTGCAAGCTAGATATTCCCTCACTGCTTATTCTTTGATCCGTCAACACCGATGTCTTTGCCACTCTGCACATTATGTACACTCCATCAGACTCCTGTCATTTTTCCTGGATGTCCCATGCCTGGGATACTCTCCCTCTTTATTTCTACCTCCTGGCTTCCTTCCAGTCTAAACTAAAATCCTGAGGTCTGCAAAAAGCCTTTCCTGATCCCCCTTAATAAGCTAGTTCCTTTCTTCTACTGACTATCTCCAGTTGGATCTTGGATCAAGATGGATCTCCTGCATCCATCTTGTTTGTGCAGTTCTTGTCTCCATTAGATTGTGAGCTACCTGAGGACAAGGACTGTTTTTTACTTTCTCTAGATCCCTAGTGCTGAATAGCCCTGAGAGTGAGGAAACCTATGGAAATGCTGGTGAGGTGGAAAAGGAGAAATTATCCTCCCAACCCTCCCATCCCCTACCCACTAGTTTAGTAGAAAGATCTAAGGAAAGTTAGACTAGGTTCAAATGTATAACCGTGTGCAAATCACCTCTTCTGTACCGTGGAAGGGCTGGCTAGGTGACATCTTCAGCTCAAACGTTTTATGATGTAGATGATCTTTAGGGTTCTTTCCAGCTCTTAAGTTATGGTCCTGTATTGCAAGGACTTAGCCAGAGTCCTTAGAGATCATCTAGTCCAGGGGTGGGAAACTTGCAACCTCGAGGTCACATGTGGCCTTCTAGGTCCTCAAGTGCAGCCCTTTGACTGAATCCAAACTTCACAGAACAAATCCTTTTATTAAGGGATGTAAGGGATGGACTAGTTCTCTTCATTAGGTCAGTCATCGAGCAGGAAAGCATTGAAGGCACTCCACTAAGAACTGGGGACACAAAGAATGGCAAAAGACAATCCCTGGGAGCAAACAAGATATAGACTATAGACGGGGTAAATTGGAGTTAATCAGTCAGCAGAGGGAGGGCCCTGGCATGGTAGCATTAATGCCCAGGGTCATATAAGTGGGAAGAAGGAGAGTCATAAAGAGTAAAGAATAGGAGACCCGAGAGGAAAACATGCTTAGAAAGTTAAGGCTTTGTGGTTATTTATTAGCAGAGAAATCAAGTAGTGGAGACAAAGGAAAGTTCTATGTCAGCTTAGTCTCTGAAATTTAGAAGGTGATCATTAACATAATGCTGAGATCATTCCAGTGCTTTGTTTTTTAAACAAAAACCCTGAGCTCTGTTTCAGGAATGCTTACGTTAGGAATTTGTATGGATTTTACTTGTTTAGGGGTGGGTATAAAATAAGATGGGAAGGATTGGGGCAGAAGACATTATTTTTGAGTTTAAGATCATTGAGCATTTAATCAACTTAGTGTTATGTGATTGTTGACGAGTTTTCCCTATTGGGCTTTTCAGTAACGAGTCAGATGAGTGTTTGATGTTCCAACTCACTTGGTTAGACTTTGGTTCTAACTTGGGCAGGTCAAGTTAGTTTTGTTATTTTCTTCAGCTTCTATGTAGACTGTTCTATTGGCCTAGGCTGGCTTTCTCAATGGGTTGGAGGGAAGAGAATGGGTGAATCGATGTAAATCCATTGTTGTAAGAAAAATGTATCAAAGCGTGTAACCTATTGATGGTGGGTAATACCTTTGTATACTCTTCCTCTAAGTGTTTGATCTAAGTCAAGCCATTAAAAGAATTATTAAGTGTTTACTATATGCCAGGCACAGTGCTTATCTTTGGAAATATCTATGCAGAAAGATAGCTCCTGTCCTCAAGGAGCATACATTCTAGTGGAGAGGGAGGAGAAAACACACAAAAGAAAACTGAGAAGACCGTGGAGAAAGACTGGGAGCTTGGTGGAGAATGACCTGTATGGAGTCTAGAAAGGAATGAAGATGAATTGCATACAATGGAAGTTTTGAGAGGGGCCAGCCAATCACAGGAAAGGTGTACTTCCAGTGTGGGAAGGCCAGGAGTAGAATGAACTTCCAGGCTGCAGGAACATGGCAGAGAAGTCAGGAGTCAGGAGTGGAGTCCAGAGAGAGAACCTCTCTAGACTTCTGTTTCCTTACTTATAAAATGAGATGATGTTTGAAATAATTCATATGATGGCTGTGAAAAAACAACACTTTGGAAGTTGTATACTACTATAATATAACAGTGAGTTGTCCCTGTTATACACGTGATGAAGATGTATATTGAAGGGAAAAATACATGAAATACATGAAATAAATCCTAGTGTTAGAAAAGAAGTTAGCTTGGCCTCTCTCATGCAGGAATCTTTTTCAGTTCTGATGGAACCCAGGGATTCTGAAGTAGAGGTGAGAGAGTTCATGCTCTACGTGGAAAGGAGACCACCTATGGAGGTGAAAGATGGAATGATGAGTACAAAAGCTAGGAGGCCAGTTTGTCCAGAATGGAGAGTATGTGGAGAATAACAAGAAATAATACTGATAAAGTAAGTGAGAGCCAGATTATGGAAAGCCTTCAATGGTAAGTTTTGGAGTTGGTATTTTTTGTCCTAGAAGCGGTAGGGAATCATGGGAGATTTCTGTGTGTGAGATTTATGTAGTCAGACCTGTGAATTAGGAATATCAGTATAGCAGCTCGAAAATGGATTGGAGAGAGAAGAGAATGGAAGCGAGAAGACCAATTATTTTACTAGACCAAAGTGAGCAGTGATGAGGGCTTGAATTAGGTTAGAGGTTGAAAGTCAAGAGATGATGAAGAGGTGGAATGGACAAGACTTGGCGCCATTGGATGTGGGGGGGCAGTGAGGGAGAAGGAATAGTTAAGGGTGACAGTATGAAGTACTTGCTTTATCACCTTAATAGAATATAAACTCCCTGAAGGTGGGGATTTTTGTTTTGTCTTTGTATCTCTAGCGGCTAGCACAGTTTTTGTACATTTTTTTTTTCTTTTTTTGGTGTCAGGAATCTTGATTGCATGAATTCAGATGCAGGTTAGCAACTCTTCAGCAACTTATAGCCTTAGGGAGTTAGTTGTCTGGGAGGCGCTTGAGAATCACTCGTCCATGATTACACAGAGCCAGTTATCCATCAGAAGTAGGTCTTGAATTCATGTCTTGACCGTCTTCTAGAGAGTTAAGTACAAATACCCAAGAACAGATCTCAGACTCTGAGGCAACTTTTCTTAACTTCTGCTTGATCTCATGCAGAGATGTGATAACTTGCTATGTACTGCTTGTGCATCAGGTCAATAACAGAACTAGAGCTCTAATCTTATTAACCCTTCCAAAAAGTTCATTTTTTTTCTGTTTTATCTGGACCAGAATATTTTAAAGGGCTTGGGAGAGTGTTCTAAGTTTGTCCTAAAATGGTCCCATTCCCTCATGAAAGTCAAAGTCATCAAGACAACAGCTTCTTTGTTCTGAGGCTGAAAAATAGCTCAATTCACGTAATAGTTTGACAGATCTCTTTTAAAGATCCACTAACACAATGTATCTGTGGCACTCACACCTGCCCTTAGAGTGGTTATGCATGTTATGTTGACCAGACTGACTGTGGCTTACGCCTCTTACTTTGATCTGTCTGACTGCATATTACACCAAGATGGACTTCCATTGTCCATGGCCTCTGATTAATTTTTTTTCTCCTCTCTTTTTTTCTTCCAGTTAGCTGGAGTTGTTTTTCTTGCTGTTGGACTCTGGGCATGGAGCGAGAAGGTAAGAACATTCTTGAACTGTAGCTCTTTAAATATTTGAAGACAGCAAACATGTCATTCCCAACCCCCACTGACTCCCCCTTCCCCAAAACTCTACACCCCTCAAGCCAGGAAGCAAGGCAGCCTTTGTTTCTGCCTTTGGCAGGCTTCCAGGACTGCTATTGACTATAACAAATGCTAGTTCAGACTTGACTTTTCCTCTTTAATTTTTTTAAAACATAGCCTCATGCATTATTTGTGCTGGTGTTGAAAATTTGAATTGATTAAAACCCACACAAAGCCAGTACTTTTTAAATAAATTTTTTGGCCTTTGAATCATGGGATCTTAAGAGTTGGAAAGGCCACTAGTGTTTGTCTTGTCCAACCTCCTTTTCAACGCAGGAATATCCTTCACCGAATTTCTGCTAGATTACTATCCAGCTGCTTCTTTAAACTTTCCTGGTGATGGAGGGAGCTCACTGTCTCCCTAAAGCAAACCATACTATTTTGGGATGATTCCACATATAAGAAAATTCTTCCTTACGTTGTGCCCAAATCTGCCTTCTTACAGCCAGTATAACTTAAACTTTTGTGTTCTTCCAGGTATTCATTTTTCTGGTCTGCTGCTTTGTTAAATTTTTGGTTCCTGGTTTCTCTCTGGGAATCTCAACTGATTCTTCACCTCCCTCCCTGCTGAAGCTTCTAGCTAATACTGTTCATCATTAGAGTATGACTTTGATACTGAAATTAGGCTATCCGCTCTCTCTCTAGGATCAAAGCTTCAGCATCTAGGTCTCTTTGTCCTGAAAGGTCTAGGGAAAGCTGCACATTAAACTGTTACACTGAGTGTCAGGACCTGGCATGATCAGGCACCAGAGGCAGAGGGAGCATACTTAATAACATCTTTGCTGGAGTCCAGTTCTAGTAGCATGATAGTTTTATTAAAATTGCTTTTAAGGGCTAAGCACTGAAAGGCCAGCCATATGAGATGCGGTGGAAAGATCACGGAAACCTGAGTTCTGATCCCTGTTCTGCCATTCTCTGTATGATCTTTTTGTCGTTATGAACCCCAGTTTCCTAATCTTTAAATTGAAATTAAATTCAGTAGATAGATCTTTAAAGGTTTACTCTAGCTTTAACATGATTACGTGATCTTTGTACAACGATCCTTTAGACAAGGATCATGCAGTGTTAAAAAGCATGCTCTCTAGAGTGATCTGTGGGGATTTTGAAGAAAGACTGCCTAGAAATTTAGGGTTGCCTAGGATGTCTCCTCAGAGCCTCTTTTTAGTAGGTCTCCTTTTGGGCAGCAGGTTACAGCATCCGGGGTTAAGTTCTTAAACTGGAAGTGGCAGCTTTGAAGCTTGTGCATACGGTGGCCTTGTAGCACCATCTTGTGGTAGCTTCAGTCTTTATCTGCACAAATTGGGCTGTGTGAATTTGGTTAAGAGCTCTTCAGTGTTTTCTGAATTTACCTGAAAACATTTATGTTATTTGCCAAAAGGCTGAAACCTTACCTGGTGATAATAATGTGTATTCTCCTTGTTCTTATTTTGTTCTTTATTAAGAAGAGCCAGTGATCAGATCTCACTTTCTCATGTGGATTAAGCTGAGCTGGCTAAACAGCAGTCAGGAAGACTTAAGTCCATTGCCTTGTTTTCCCCTCCTCCTTTTAAGCGCTTTTATTTCTTTCATCAAAGGCAACATGGAGCCTTTCTGTGCTAAGTTAGGCTGAACTTTTGTCATTGAGAGGCAGTGTGGTGTGTAGTGGTTTGAGCTTTGGACTTGGAGTCAGACCCAGGTTTGAATCCTTTTTCAATAGTACTGTAGGACTTGTATGACCCTTGAGCAAATCACCTACCATTCTGGGCTTCATTTTCCTCATCTGTAAAATGAGGGTGTTGGACTTAATGACCTCAAAGAGGTTTCTTCTAGTTAAAAATCTGTGATTCTATAAATTATAATTTATAGATAAGAGGGTATAGAGGTGGAGATAGGGGCCTAAGCTAGAATAAGGAGGAAGGAAATGATACCAAAGAGAATGTGTATTATACAAGATTAATCACATATTGTCTTGTATTGGTTTTCCCAAAAAGGCAGGTACTGCACCTTCCCTTGATAATAATATTTTAATTCTATAATCCTATTAATAATGATCTTTAGTCTTCAGATGGTATAGGAATGTACATTCCTAATATTTCAATCATCACTGAATACTCAGAGTATCCAGCCCTTTGGGGGTGATATGAGAGAAGGAGAAGGTGCAGTACCTGCCTTTTTTGGAAAACCAATACAAGACAATATGTGATTAATCTTGCATAGCACATATTCTCTTTAGTATCATTTCCTTCCTCCTTATTCTAGCTTAGGCCCCTATCTTTGCCTCTATACCCTCTTATCTCCACTCCATGTTTCACATGATTGCCAAATGAATATCCTAGATGCTCAAAACCTATCAGTTTTCTCCCAGTCTTTTTCCAACCAATATTTTTAGCTTTATTTCATAATATCTCTACTTCACATATTCTCCTCTCCAGCCATGGGACAGCCAGTTGTTATAATATCCCATCCCATACTCACCTGCCTCTGCATTTGTGCGTACTGGCCCGTCTGTGGAAAGGAAGGACTCATCCTACATCCTCATTTAACCCCTGCCTTCTTTCAAGGCCCAGTTTATTTGTCACCTTCTACAGGAAGCCTCTGTTTTTATCTTTCCTCAGATTTTTCTAGATTACTTTGTTTGGATTTCTTCTTTTTTCCCCCCACACTCTTGTATCATACTTATTTATATGCACGTTCTCTCTGTGTGCCCCATCTCTCTCCTCTGCCTCTCCCAACACACCTCACTGAATTGTAAATTTCTTGTAGGGGCTTGCTTTTTTTCCCCATCTTTTTATCCCTAGTCTCTAGCATAAAGACTTGCATATAATGAGTAGTTGATAAATATTTATTAAATTGTTGAATTTAAAGGAAGGTGGGTTAGGGTTAGATCATAATTACTAGTAAGAAGAGTAATAAGAAGTGCTCATGAAAGAGGAGAGTGCACCCTAAGGTGATGATTTTCTTTTTGGTTAACCTAGTAAGACTATGACATTTCGTTTGAAATAAATAAGCCCCCTGAAGGCAGGGAACATGTGCCTTTAGCTTAATTTGTACTACATGCGAGTAGAGCTCCTTCGTAGATGCTTTTCACTTGCCTTTCTGCTGGGGTTAATGCTCTGCTGTCTCCTTGGCTGTCTTCAGGGGGTGCTTTCAGACTTGACCAAAGTGACTCGTCTCCATGGTGTGGATCCTGTGGTGCTAGTCCTGATTGTGGGGGTAGTGATGTTCACGTTGGGCTTTGCTGGCTGTGTAGGGGCCCTGAGGGAAAACATCTGCCTCCTGCAGTTTGTAAGTAACCCTGGGCCCAGGTGTATGGGGGCTGTGGTGGAGGAGGGATGAGGGGAACAGATTTCCCTGTTCATTTGGAAAACTAGGAAAGGGGGTCAGGTCTGGGGAGTCAAGTGCTTATAGCAGTCAGTGCCCACTGGTCAATCATAGTCTGCCAATTAACATTGTTTTTGAAGACTTTGACTTGGTTAGTTAGTAGAGCTATTTACTGCTTCTCCCCCAGTCCTCAGCGCACCCATACCTGTAGGACACATGGAAGATATCCAGTGGGGAGGGGAAGATAGCACCTATCTCCTTATTCCCCAGGATTAAGATCAATATGTAGTGATTTCCTCCTGTTAATTATATTTCCTTGTGCTATTCTTCCCTTCCTCCCTTTCCCCTTTACTCCATTAGATATGTAATGAAAAAAAAATAACCCAAACCATCACTTTTAGGTAGAATTAAATGAGAAATATTTATGGAGTTTTGAGAAAATAGTTACATTTAGATAAATTCATTTTGAGATGCTTTCAGTTACAATTCAGGAGGATCTGGTGGGAAAACACCTGTTACATTGCTTTGCAAAGTATTATTTTTTTATATTTAGCGAATCATTCTGTATTCCCTGTTTTGAATTTAGATAGCACACATTGAATGTTTTATGTGCTTCTCCACCCTCATTGGAAAGGTCTGCCAGTTCTAACATTTTCTAATTCTGGGCAGATCTATAATTTTCCTGTGACTCTTGTGGTGGGTCGAAGCTCAGCAAGTCAATTAGCAAGTATGGGAACATTTCCTAAGGGTGAAATACTGTATTAGAAGTCCTGGGAACTGAAAAAGCAACATGCAAAGTCTTATGGATTTGGGATCAAGAAGAACTGGGTTTGAATATGAGCCTCAATGCTATGTCCATAAAATGAGTGAGTTGGAATAGTTATTCCCTCCCAATTAAGGATAATAAATATTATCATTAATATGTTATTAATATAGCAATGTATTATCAATGGTATACATATATATCGTGTATGTTATATTATGTAATATGAATATATTGATATGTTATTAGTACATTTTTTGTTGTTCAGTTTCAGTCATGCCCAATTCTTCTTCTTCTTCTTTTTTTTTTTTTTTTGGTGAGGCAATCAGGGTTAAGTGACTTGCCCAGGTTCACCCAGCTAATAAGTGTCATGTGTCTGAGGCCAGATTTGAACTCAGGTCCCCCTGACTCCAAGGCCAGAGCTCTATCCACTGCTATGTCCAATTCTTCTTGGCAAAGATACTAGAATGGTTTGCCATTTCCTTCTCCAGCTCATTTTATAGATAAGGAACTGAGACAAATAGGGTTAAATGACTTGCCCAGGATCACACAGCTAGAAAGTGTGTGAGGCCAGATTTGAACTCAGGAAGATGAATTTTCTTGGCCTAAGGCCTGGCACTCTATCCACTGTGCCATCTAACTGCCCGTTAATATGTTACTATGTAATAATAAATATACGAATAAATCTGTGATTGCATTTTATTAAATGGGCCTTGTCTTCATAGAGATTTTGCCCTAATGGAGATTAAATATGGATCCTCAAGCTTTAATAGATAAGTTCTTTGTGAGGCCCTGAGATAGTGTGGCTAGAGAGCCAGTCTCATAGCCAGGAAGATTGAAGTCCAAGTCTGTGTGACCCCAGGCAAACTACTTAACCTCTCAATGCTGTAGGGCAGAGGTGTCAAACACTCAGGCCTGATGTGGTTGTGGCTGGGTCCCAAACAGATTAAAATGTAATTGGGAAATATTTAACCAAACAAATAAAAATATGCAGATAATGTTAATATGTGGTTTTCTAAGTCAATATGCAGCCTACAGGGATCCTTTTGTAAGGTTTTTCCATTTCTATTTAAATTGGACACCACTGCTCCAGGAAGCTCTCTAAGATCCTTAAGCTGTAGAGAAGGTGCCAGCCTGCATGAGGGGATGAATTCCTCCCTGGTAGCTTCCTATCTGGTTGCAGGCCAACATCATAAGCAGAGTCCTTATCCCTATCCCAATAAGTGCTAAGGAGTTTAGGGGAAAGAGATCACTTGTGACTAAGAACAGTGGGAAAGTTTTCACAAAGGGGCTGTGGACTGGAAGAATTGGTTAACAATTTCCTGTTGTTCCTTTTCTCTCTCTCTCTTTTTTTTTCCTTTTAGTTCTGTGGGGCTATTGTGCTGATATTTTTCCTGGAGCTGGCAGTGGCTGTGTTGGCCTTCCTGTTCCAGGACTGGGTGAGGGACAGGTTCAAGGAGTTTTTCGAGATCAATATCAAGTCTTACCGAGATGACATCGATCTGCAGAACCTTATTGACTCCCTGCAGAAAGCTGTAAGTCACTCTGGCCTTTGGTGGATGTCTTCACACCCTTTATTGTTTTTATCTCTGCCTTTTTCCTGCTCTGGAATCTAATGCTGAAGTTTCCTCTTGGTGTGGAGGTGAAAGCATGGGTTCTTGAAGCTTTTACTAAAGAGTGTTAGTCTTCTGGCAGGTGTTACTAAAACCTGAACAACCTCACAACACACTGAATGACTGATATTCAAGGGCCAGCCTAGGTTTGGAATGGCTCCTTACCAGAAGATTGGTTTTCAGTTGATGAAAATTTGGTCAAGAAACATTTATTAAGCACCTACTATGTGCTAGGCACTGGGGATACAAAAAGAGGCAAAAGACAGTCCCTGCCTTCAAGGAGCTTACAGTCTAATGAGGGAGACAACAAGTAAACAAATCTATTCAAAGCAGGCTATATACAGGATAAATAGGAAATATTGTAATGAGGAAAGATTGAGAAATGCTCTCTGTAGAGGAGAAAATTTTAGTTGGGAATTAAAAGAAACCAGGGAAGCTGGTAGTAGAGGTAAGAAGGAAGAGCAGTCCAGGCCTGGAGGACAGGCAGAGAAAATGCCTGGAGCTGAGAGTTGGAGTGTTTTGTTTGTGGAATAGGAAGGAAACCAGCATCACAGGCTTGAAGAGTATGAGGAGGGGAGAGTAGGGTGTAAGAAGACTGGAAAGATCAGAGGGGGCTAAGCTTTTTTTCCCTTAATTAACTTATTTTTAGTTTTCAACATTCACTTCCATTAGCTTTTGAGTTTTAAATTTTCTTCACCTCCTTCCCTAAGACAGCATGCAATCTAATATAGGCTCTATGTACACATTCCTATTAAACATATTTTTACATTAGTCATGTTGTAAAGAATTAGAATCAATAGGAGGAACCACAAGAAAGAAGAAACAAAACAAAACAAGAAAAAAATAGCAAATATTATGCTTTTATCTGCATTCAAACTTCATAGTTCTTTTTGTGGATGTGGACAGCATTTTCCATCATGAGACTTTTGGAGATGCCTTAGATCCTTGTGGTGCTGAGAAGAGCTGAGTCTGTCAGTAGTCATTGCACAGTGTGGCTGTTACTGTGTACAGCGTTCTCCTGGTTCTGTTCACTTCACTCAGCATCAGTCCATACAAGTCTTTCCAGGTTTTTCTGAAGTGAGAGGGTTAAGTTTTAAAGGCTTTGAACACCAAACAAAAGATTTTGTGTTTGATCCTGGAGGCAATAGAAAGCCATGGGAGTTTATTGAATGGGAGGTTGGGGGAGAGGGATGCATGATATAGTCAGACCTGTGCTTTAGGAAACCCACTTTGGTGGCTAAATGGAGGATGGGTTGGAGTAGGGAGAGACTTGAGGTGGGCAGTCCTACTAGCAGGCTGTTGTAGGGGTGTAGGTTTGAGGGGCTGCACCAGAGTCGTGGCAGTGTCAGAGGAGAGAAGGGGGCATATTTGAGAGGTGTTGCAAAGGTGAAATCAAGCAGCCTTGGCAACAGGTTGGATATAGGGGTGTGGGGTAGGTGGGGTGGGTGGTAAGAGATTGTGAGGAATTGAGGATGATACCTAGGTTGTGAGCCTGAGGAACTGAGAAAATGATGTTGCCCTTAACAGTAATTAGCTGCCCTTCACAGTAAGAGGGAAGTCACAAGTGGAGGAGGGTTTTAGTGGGGAAGATAATGAGTTCATGAAGATGTCCTCCCAAGGATCAGAGGAAACCATGGGCTGAGTTGGCAGAGGGAGTATCAGTGGGTCTTTCTGAAGTGATCAAAGCATATATGCCTCTTAAAATGCCTTGGTGTGGTAGGGATGCTGTGGAGGCTTATACGAGATGCAGAGTTTATTTTCTTAGATTTTCTGGAGTCTAGAATCACTTGATTAGGTCTGGAGGTAACTGGAAGTCCAGAAGACAGTAGGGTGTTCAGAGAAAGTTCCCATAAACATTGGCCAAAGTAACTCACAAGCTTTAGAATGTTCTCTCTGAGGGCTCCCATGCATTCCATTCTCTTTGATTTTAAGGAGAAGCTCCCCCATCCATTTTCTCTTTGGATGATGGAAGAAACCCTGTGGCCTTGTGGACACACCATTGCTATTGGGGCTGTGCCTTTCTGAGGGCAATGAAGACCTCGAGTATGACTCTATAGCCTGACTGGACCTAATGGGGCATCTCCATAAACAGTGCTCTGGGCTCGGGATGGTGTTTCAGGAGGTTTTCATTATATTCCCTTCTAAATAGCTGAGAAGGCTGATTATCCAAGTGCACTATCCACCTTCTTTACTACCCTATGGGCATGTTGATGAGATGAGTGAATCTCTTCCCTGGCCTTTCTGTAATTCATCAGGATCCACAGGATATCCTCTTTTGATTGGAGGCTATTCTTACCCTATCTCTCTGAGGGACCTTTTCCCCTTCCTGTTTGAGAAGGAAGCCTGCTCAGACCAAGAAGAGTTAGCCTCCATAGGATATTTTGCAGAGCTCCTGAACAGAATCCTGCATGAGGGGATGAAATTCTTCCCTGGTAGCTTCCTGTCTGATTGCAGGCCAACATCATAAGCAGAGTCCTTATCCCTATCCCAATGTTAAGTGCTAAGGAGTTCAGGGAAAAGAGATCACTTGTGACTAAGAACAGTGCGAAAGTTTTCACAGAGGGGCTTCCATTTCCTTTGGTTTCTCATCCCCCATTGATCCCTGCTCTGCACCTGAATGCTGTAAGCAGCTCTAAGAACTAAACACATCTTATCCTCATTGAGAGTGGGGGAAAGGAGAGTGGACACCCAGCTCCTGGTCATGTTAAGGGTCTGGGCCCTGATGAACTCTCTGCTCTTTCTCTTTAGAAACCTAGCTTCCTTAGGCATTTTGCAGTTTTTGTTTGTTTTTATCCTGAAAAAAGACTTATCATCTGTTTTGTGTTACACAAAGAGGAATGGAAAAGAGATTACCACAAATATGGAAGCACACTAAGGAAATTTTAAACTGAGCAAGATTAGACTTCTTAGTTTTAAGTATTATTTGAGCCAATAAAACTCAACTATAGCTCCAAATTTAGCTTGTCTCTGCCATGTGATTATAATGTTGCGATGCCTACCATTGGAGAAACTCTCATGTCATGCTGTTGTCCCATTTTGGAAATTGACACACAGTTGCCTTTTCTGTTTCCGTCTGTGTCTGGGTCTCTGCAATTGTTTCTCTATCCCTGTCTCTCTTTTTGTCTTTCCTTTGCTTGTAGACAACGTGCTAAGTTGTTTCTTCTGTGTGCTAGTGTTAAACAAAAGAAAACATTTTCTTATTGTCTATTCTTCTCACTTTCCTTAAAAAAAAGATTCTTTATCCTTCTGCTGGTAATTTTTTTTTTTGAGAGGGAGGGCAGTGTTAGGGTACATTGCTAAACACGTTCTAATTATCTTCATATCAAGTATATTTATGGGTGATACAGTATCAATCATTCATTAGACATCTATTCCTGATATGTGTCAAATGCTGAAGAGGGATGCAAAACCCAACAGCATATAATTTCTGTCCTCTCATGGAGCTTAAAGTCCAGTGGGAGATTACATATATGGATGCTTGTATACAAGTATGAAAAGTGAATTAATGCCAAGTAATAAATTACAAAAGCCATATGAGTGATAACTGGCAACATGTGCTGTGGAGATTCAGAGGAAAGAGATATTGAATTGATATAGTCATAAAAATGCTTCCTGAACTGAGGAATCTGGGGCAGTACCAAATAGAGGTGAAATTTGATCTACTCTAGGTCAATTATGGTGTGTTGGTCACTAAATGACAGTGCTTTGGCAATGATGACAATGATTTCTGTTTGTTTGTTCTGTAGAACCAGTGCTGTGGGGCTTATGGCCCTGAAGACTGGGACCTCAATGTTTACTTTAATTGCAGTGGAGAAAGCTATAGCAGAGAAAAATGTGGTGTCCCGTTTTCTTGCTGTGTACCAGATCCTGCAGTAAGTTGTGGTTGTTTACTCTCCTTTAGGTTAAAAAAAAATTGATGCCTGTTGTTTTTACATCGTAGTCATATCTAGAAATACCAGTCTAAGAACGGAATTCTACTTGGCAAGATTAAAAAAAAACAAACCAAAAATCAAAGCACTTTTAAGCACAGAGACCTTATGTAGTGACCACATCAGGCATTGTACCTAACATTTTGGCTTAGTAATACCCAATTTTTCTACCAAGGGGAGGGTCTTTCCATCATCTCTTGCAAAGCTGAAATCATTACAGTTTCCATGCATAAGTGCCAAGTTCTTTTGATTGTGGCTCTAGTTTCTGTGGTCACACTCTGCTGGTATCCAAACAAGTGATTAGCTTAGAAAGGCACCTTCTGATGAAAGGGGGCTGCTGTGCAGAGAATGGCCAATGGGCAAGTCATGGGGTGACTAGAACACTATGAACTTTGTTCAGGTGCCAAAACTAGAAGATCGTAAGAATCTTTAATACCCAAACCAAGGAGTTTCTCTCTTTAAAGCTGATACCTAGGTCAGTACCTGGGAACTGATTTCTCTCAAATTAGCAGTCTTCCAAATCAGGGGTTTGGACAAAATTTGTTTGGTCATTTATCTGAATATTTTTGAATATATACAAATATATGTATATGTATACACGCACACACATGCACCCATATAGTCTTTATAAAAGCAGTTTGAGACATCTTTATAAAAGCATATATAGATGGGTTAATATTACAGTTGTTATATTGTCCTAGTAGCCCAGTTAACAGCCTGCAAACTCCAAATGTAAGAATTACTGTGCTGAGTTACTTAAAGAGCTCACATAACTTCTTTTTACCTTAGATTCATTCATCTGTAAAATAAAGTGATCATATATTGTTGATTTGAAAGCAGGTGGCTATTGAAGTCAACCACAAGTCTCTTGAATCCTAACAAGCCTACACTCACTCAAAGGCTTGACTTGAAGAGGGAGTCAAAGGAAGCAGGAGAGAATAAGAGCAAAGCATATTCTTCCACCAATTAAATGCTACCACCTGTGGGGATTTTCTGTCTAGGGAAACTGAACTCAAGGTTCTTCTAGACAAAGGAAGATTAAAGAGGGAAGAAATAATCTGCCTCAGTAATAAAATGTACATACATATTTATATTATGCATGCATTGAGATTGCATGCATGTGTATGTCTATATATACATGAGTGCACTCATGCATGTGCATATGAGAACATCCATATGTATATACATACATACAGATACAATGCATATATGCACACATATATGTACGCACATATTGATGAGGCCCCTCTCCTCATGGAGTTTTACAGTCTAATGGAGGAGATAGTGCATATATATTCAGATAAATAAAATACAAAGATAAGAAATAGGCTGTGAAAGTTCTTTGTAGTCTAAAGTGTTGAGAAGAGGGAGAGACATCTTTAAGGTTCCTCCCGACTCTGATTTTATGGTCTGGACCAGAGGCACCTGTCTCCAGGGTCTTACTTTTTACTCTCATTTAATCTATAATGTATTGGTTGGGTTTTTTTTGCTGATCCATAGACTCTTCTCTCTTTACTCTTTCATTTCTCTCTTGAGTTCAATATCCCTGAGACTGGAAATTCAGGGGGTAGTATGTAACTGGTAGAAGAATCTGTTTTGCTCTTTCTAGCTTTCTTTGATTCCATATTCAAGTCAAGCCTTTGAGTGAGTGCAGGCTTGTTAGGATTCAAGAAACTTGTGACTGACTAAAGTCTCCCTGCCTTTAAACCAACAATACATGATCACTTTATTTTACAGATGAATAAAACAAGGTACAGAGAAGTTATGTGATTTCTTTAGGTAATACAGACAGCATCACAATTCTCATTTTCTCAGTTTATAGTTAGTTTATATAAGGACAATATAATAATTGTAATATTAACTCATCCACATATACTTTTATAAAGACTACTCACCTTGGATTCAGGAGAATCTAACTTCAGATCCTGCTTCTGGCATTTACTGGCTATGTGACTTTAAGATTGCTTTTCTGGGCCTCCCAGTTCCTTTATCTGTAAAATAGGAATCCTAGCACCCCCTACTTCACAGGGTTGTTGTGAGGATAAAATGAAAGCATCTTATGTAAAGTATTTTGCCAACCTTTCAAATACTCTCTAACTGATGGTCTTTATTATTATATTCCAAAGCACTTTGCTTACAACACCCTTGGCAGGTTAAAGGAGTGCAGGTTTGCCTCTACTCCTTTTTACAGGTTAGGAGGAAGAAGCTTGCAAGTTCAATGACTCACCTAGTCATTGGCTAGTAAGGAGGTAGAGATAGAAACTGAGCCCATGTGTAGGACATTTCTCTCTGCCCAACGCTGTCTCCCCAAATCATTTTTCTCTACCATAGGCCCTCTCCCCAAATCACTCAGCACTGCATTTCCTAAACGTAGCTTTTGCCTCTCAGTATTTGTAGCATGACTGAATTGAGTGAACTAGGATGGGCCATTGCTACCAAAATCTGTTGGTCGTGATTTTTCCCAGAAGGCCACTTTCTCACCCCCTTTTCTCCCTCCTTTCCTCTTCCTGCCAGCCTTCTACAGTGCTAATCTTTTCTTATTTCTCTTGCAGCAAAAAGTTGTGAATACACAGTGTGGATATGATGTCAGGACTTTGGTGAGAACCCCTAATGCTTATGGTTATCCCCTTTGGTCCAGCTTCCCAATTTAGCACACACATGTAAATTAGAATGGGAAAACTTGGAGCTGAGTGCAGAGGTGAGATTCCAAACCCAGTAGGGGTGAGCAGAGTGAGAACAAGTAAGTAACCTAACAGGCACCATCCCCTGGGCCGGTATAAAGGAAGAAGGAAATGGTGATCCGTGTTAATTTCAAGCTTCATTAACCACAGGCCCCCCAAACTAGCTATTGCCAAGTTAGTGGGAAAGAAGGAAGAAGAGAGTTGAGGAGTTGCAGAAACTCTCCTTTTCACATTTTTAAGAAGGCGTGGAGAGAATGTTTTTTTTTAAAGGTCCGTTTAATGTATTCATAGTTTCAAAAAGGTGTCAGACTTGTTGAAAATGATTTTGTTTGGGTGCTCTCACTAACATGAGATTGGAGTCAGTCAATTTCCCCTCGTTTCAAGTGCTCCCCAAATGAACTAATTCAGGATTCAGTTATCTCAGGTATTCAGACCCCAAGAGGGAGGAGTGTCAGACTGGTTTCATCACCTGGTATGAAATGAAGGAAAAACACCTAGGAAAAATATTTCCCTTATCTTTTGCTGGTAGTAGCTTGTGACTGTTAATATGGTATTGACATTTCTTTCTTAATTCTTGTGATTAGCCATATAGAAATAAATTGTGGAATCAGTAGGCCTACAGGAGGGAATATGATCCCGTGCCGCTTAGGGGTGTGTGCCTCAGTTGATGGTTAACCAAAAAGAGTAGCAGTGCAGAAGATTCAAAGATTGTTCCATTTGCTTTGGGACATTATGGTGTATTTTATAGTCAGTGTAACTTCCCAGTAAGCAATTGTTAGTCTGTCTCCCACTGTCTCCTGAAGGGCAAAGATTATTTCATTTTTGTCTTTGTATTTCTAGTGCCTAGCAATACCTTAAATAGTGTGGTAGGTACTTGTGTTGATTAATTGATTTAATTTCATCCTACATTCTATAAGGATAGCAGCTAATGTTAGAGAGGGTCCTAGAATTAGCATGATGAAACTTAGCTGGACAGTTCTGCTGAAGATATCAGTTGTAAATGATGTGGAAATAATTGAGAGAACTTTATTAAAGTGACACGTTATGCCAAGGATGCACACAGATATCAGTGTTTATAATAAAAAGTATAATTATAGGATCCTGTTTTTAAAATGACTGGAAAGTTCATTCTTCCTTCTGACAGAGGTTAACTGATGCATGCACCTGTGTATTACATTGTTAACTCTGATTTATACACCTGTATGTTACATATGTATACTTCTGGACTGTAATAATGTATACACACTTAGAGTGTGTGTGTGTGTGTGTGTGTGTGTGTAGGGCAGCTAGGTGGCACAGTGGATGGACCTGGAGTCAGGAAGACTTATCTTCCTGAATTCAAAGCTGTGTGACCCTGGGCAAGTCACTTAACCTGTTTGCCTCAGTTTCCTCATCTGTAAAATGAGCTAGAGAAGGAAATGGCAAACTTCTCCAGTATCTTTGCCAAGAAAACTCCTAATGAAACTACTCGATGTGTGTCCATATACACACATAAGTGTGTATATTTTATATATATACATGCATACACATACATACACATACATATATATATATGTATAGTTATTTGATAGTCTTTAAATTATTTCCATCTTCTCTCTCTTAACTCTCAAGACTTCAGAAGATACTGTCACCCTCATTGTCACTGAACTTAAAGGTCAGACAACCACTAGCTATCACTACACTTCTAGGAATCCCTTTTCTGAGAATTGAGACTTTCGGGGTCAGTTGAAAAGTAGGTTGTCAGTTGTCTACTGTGCCTGTAAAAGACTAGACAGGAGGAATGGATCTCTCAGAATCACATAAAGTCTATCAATCAGCATTTATTTAGCACTTCTTTTTGTCAGGTACCACTAACTTGGCAATAGCTAGTTTGGGGGGCCTGTGGTTAATGAAGCTTGAAATTAACACGGATCACCATTTCCTTCTTCCTTTATACCAGCCCAGGGGATGGTGCCTGTTAGGTTACTGAGGATGCAAATAAAATGATCAAAACAGTTCCTATTCAGCAGGAGCTTACCTTCTCATGGAGAAGATGGCAGATACATATATTAGTATAAATAGAGAATAATATAAAAAGAACAAATACAAAATAGTTAACAACTAACAGTTGGAGAGAGATCAGGAAATGCTTCATTTAAAAGGTTATGCTTGAAAGAAGAGAGGGATTCCATGAGGTATGGTTGAGGAGGGATTCCCAATATGAGGGATGGCCACTGTAAAAGTATAGAGAAAGAGAGATGGAGTGCCTTGTGTGAGGGAAAGTAAGAAAGCCTGTTTGTCTGACTTGTAGAACTTGGGGAAGGGGAGTAATGTTCAATGAGGCTAGATTGGTTTTGGGGTCAGATTGTAAAGGCTCTGAAAACTCAATAGGGGTATTTATATTTTTTTCCTAGAAACAATAGGGAACTTCTGGAGTTGATTGTGTAGATAACTAGGTTAGATGACTTCTGGAGGTCATATGACTCAACCTCCCCCCATGGACACCAGCTCCTAGACACTTGGCCTTTCCTTTTATTCCCCCGCCCCTTTTTCTTTTTTTAGCACTTAGGAGACCTAATAGGAATGCACATGTGATGGCTCAGGAGTAAAGCTCATTGTAAATATGTCTTTCCGATGCAGACAAAGAACAAATGGGATGAATCCATCTTTACCAAAGGCTGTATCCCTGCTTTGGAAGCCTGGCTGCCTCGGAACATTTACATAGTGGCAGGCGTTTTCATTGCTGTCTCCTTACTACAGGTCAGTACATGGTGTCATTCGCCACTCCACAAAGCAGAAGGTAAAGACCCTGGGGGTCACTGATTCTTCTGAAGCTATTTCTCTTCTTTCAAGCCATCCTCTTTTAAAAAATCCTTTTGAAATAGTTAAAGGCCTTTGACCTAAAATGCTTATGTCAGCAACTGATGATTCCATAATTTTGAAATTGGAAAAGTTTTTTTGAGAATTAAAAAAGTGAAAAAAGATTGTTGGGGATGATGCCTAGTTTAGATCTACTCAGGGTTGACTTGGTTGGTGTGAAGTGGTGGATTTAATTGCTGCTATGAATATCAGCCAGAAGTTCTGCCTGGGCTCAGAGTTGGCTCACATGATTGTAAGCCAGTTTCCCCATTTATGACATTCATCTCATCCTCACTCCTTTATTCAGCATCTGCTTGTACTTGGGACTAGGACTCGATGCCATAGAAAATTACAGGGTAACAGTAACAACAACAGTAATAACAATAATGATGGTATCATGACGATGATAATTAGCATTTCTTTAGTGTCTGTTCTGTGCTGGGCACTATGTTAAGCACTTTACAGATCCTATCTTATTTGATTCTTACAGCAATCCTGGGAAGTAGGTGCTATTAGTATCCCTATATTACAGAAGAGGAAACTGAGGCAGACAGAAACTAAATGACTTGCCTAAGGTCACACCAACTAAGATGTATCTGAGGCAAGATTTCAACCCAGCTCCTCTTGACTGTAGGCCTGGCACTCTAACCTCTATGCTACCTGGCTGCCCTAGGATCTAAACCTTTGGACTCCTTGAGGCCACAGTTCCAGGCCAACATGTAGGCATACCTAGTAGAACAGTTGGTGGGTGACTGAAGAAGGCAGTTGCAAGAGGAAAGGGAGTTGGCCCTGCTAGCTGGTGCTAAAGAAGTTGTATAATCAGATGATCAATTCACATTATTGAGGGACTGGAAGTAGTTGACTGGGAACAACATCTCTTACTCTTTTCACACACCAACAACCCAAGCACATGGCTTCTGAAGACTGGCCACACTGCTTAGGTTGGATATTACATTTTTGTAACTTTCCTTCTTCAAGGCAGTTTGCTGTTCATTTGAACTAGATTTTATCTGTATAAAAATATTGGTGGGAGTAGGTAGGTCACATTTGCTCCAAGGTGGAACTGCAGATTAGTGGAAATTAGATTATGGAAAGCCCTGTATAATTAAAGAGTTACGGAGCTGACAAGGCAGTTTAATTGTTGAGCCTTTTACGCCTCCCCCAAAATCATAGTGACAAAAAAAGAAGCTGGTTATACAGAAATACCCAATAGGGGTTTTATTTAATTTATAATAGTAAAAAATTGGATATAACCTGAATCTTCAGTGGTTGGAGGGTGGCTGAATAAATTACATTGCATTAATGTAATAGAATATTATGGTGACATAACAAATGATAAATATGAAACATACATACAAGAAATATGGAAGGACCTATCTGAGGTGATTCAGAGTCAAATTAATAGAAGCAAAAATGTGTGCACACTTATTAACTCTTTAAAAAGGGGCAGAAAGGGGAAAGAAGAGGAAGTAAAAGGTGGTGGAACTTGAGGTGGACCTGGGAGGGGACCCAGAACAAAAATGTTTTCTTTGCTTATTAATTCATTTGGTTCTGCTTGTTAAGGACCAAGGGTTTTGGGTTATGGTTTTGCTCTTTATTTTGCAAGTTTATTTTTGTTGCTGGTTATTAAATTTATAATAAAATTTATTTAAGAACTTAGGTGGAGGGGTACTTGGGGAAAAAAAGATGGGAGAATTCCTCAAATCTAATTGAGGTGGCTCAATCTGCTGTGGGACTCTGGATATTCATAATTTTTTAGTTTGTCTTTTTTGGGTGTCTTAGCAGAAAAGTAGCTAAGATTGCCATGTAGACTTCTCAGTCTTTTCTTCAGACTTCCTCTGGGTGGTACATAGTTTGTGCTCTGTGAGTAGCCAAGAATGTTGATGTGATTTATTTATTTTGCCATCTATTGTTTGATTTTTTTTAGTATTAGTCAATTTATATATATTTTTTTTTGGTTCCCAACCATGCAGGGTCTCTTCAATACTTGTATTGTCTAGCTTTATTGCATCATCTTACCTAAGCTCCACTGCCCCTTTCGCATTGCTTATTTTTGTTTATTGATATGTGTGTTTATTACATGAAATTTGTTTCCTCTACTAATCAATACCCTCCTCCCTTGGCCCCCATAGTTGGGGCATAGTCAATTTTGTGTTGGGCCATTTACTAACAGTCATTCCTGCTTATAATGGTGCCCTACGTGTTGTTCAGGGATTGCTATGTTTAATGTCCATGCGTAACATGATGTAAGTTTTAGTATGGTGTAGGCTGTTTTTTTTGGTTGTTTTTTTTTTT